AAGTGATGTGTTGAAGTGTATTGTTACCCATTGCCGGGGAATACATTATCATACTCTTAGCAGCTTAGAACAACACTCATCTTTACCTCACCGTTTCTGTGAATCAGGAAGTTGAGAGTGGCTTAGCTGAATTCTTTCCTTTAGAGTCGGTCACAAGGGTGCAATTAAGGTCTTGGCCAGGCTGGTGTCTTATCTGAAGGCTTGACTGGGGAAGTATCCACTTCCAAAAGCATGGGAATCTTGGAGTATGTTCAATTTTTCAAGGACTGTTGGACTGAGGGCCTTAGTGCCCAACTGGCAGTTGGACTGAGTTCACCCTCCGATCCTTGCCATATGGGCCTCCCTAATATGGCAACTTGCTTCATCAAAACTGGTATGGAAGAGGGTCTGCTAGCTAGCAAGATGGAAGTCATAGTCTTTTGTGGCCTAATAATGGAATTGATATCCCATTACCTTCCATGGTGGAAGCAAATGACCAGGCTCACACATTTAAGAGGAGAGACTGACACAGGGCAAGAATGCCAGGAGGCAGAGATGATTGGCAACCATCTCAGAATGTGCCTGCTGCAAAGTTCTGTCTCCTCCCACCCTATGGATGAAGAGCTCTCCTAATGTATTTAAATCCTGACACTAGTATGGCAATATGTAAAACAGTGGATGTGTAACTGATGTGATTCTGCAATCTGTATACAGGGTAAAAATGGGAGTTCATAACCCACTTGAATCAAATGTATGAAATAAGATATGTCAAGAACTATGTAATGTTTTGAACAACCAACAATAAAAATTTAAAAAAATTAAAAAAAAAAATCCTGAGCTCTCCGAATATATTTAAAGGCTAGTTAAAAAAAAAAAAGTAAAAATTGACAACTAAATGCAATGTGGGATCTTTTTTGGTGGTATTTGAATAGGGCCTTTAGTTTAGTTAAAGGTATTATTAGCAATATTCATTTCCTGGTTCTAATAATATTGTAGCTATGTAAGATAAGTAAATTATGGAAACTAGGATGAAGGATATATGCAAAATTTATGTACCATTTTCATAACTTCTAAGTATAAAAGTCATTCAAATTAAAAGTTAGAAAAGATGTCATCTATAAAATTTAATAATCTGTTAGCCATATAAACTTAATTCTGTGGCTGTAGATTATTCAGTAATTTTAAGTTTATGTCCTTATCAGAACTTTTTCGTAGATAAAAACCCATTATGGATATACAGTATAACAAAATTTGTAAAAATTTTGTTAAAATTTTTTAAAGAAAATTTAAATAAATTCTCTAAAAGTTTTGGAGGTAAAATGGATAAATTTTTGGTAGGGATCACTTTAGAATATCATTCCTAGTGAAAACACCATAAAAATCTCACTATCACCATATAGTAGCATTATTTATTTGTTTATTGAATGTTTCAACAGATAATTATAGAAGTAGTATAAGAGCTTTCCTCTTTAATTTTATTTGAAATGTGTCAAGGACTTTTGCACAATACCAGATATACTTCACACATCAATTTAAAATAATCACCATTTCTAAAATAGTAATTCTGATAGCCAAAGTGGATCCTCCCTTGTGATGAGCACTGTTTTTCATTTGTCAGTCCACTTGTTGCTTGGATATAGATACTTATATTCCAAAATAGTGTGGCCTGTCTCACCACACTGTTCCATGTGATGAAAAGCAAAATACTTCAACCCTTCATAGGCAGTGGAATTTTATGTAAAGCAAGAACAAATGGCTCGTCGTTTTGCTTACTGTTTAAAAGGACAGCTAGTTATTAATATTATATCACTATGTCACACGTCCTGGTCCAGCAATTTAAAGATTATGGCTCTTGGTTGGTTATAACTCTTTAGAGAGCTATTTTGAAACACTCTAGACATTTTTCTTATGTTCTATTTTTAGATTGAAGGGTCTAATGGTATTTTAATGTCTCTATATATTCCCATAACAAATCCTGAGAAAAACGCTTATTACTTTTGAAATTTAGCAAGGCTGGTGGGATTATCAGTGCTCCTCTGAGAAGTATTGCATTAAAGAGTGAATCTTGATTTACAGAATGTCTGTGGTAAAAGGATTATGAAAAATGGTACAAACTTCAGATTTTCTAGAACCCTCACTTTTCAAAAGAAGAAGCTGAGTCTTGGCAGGACTGAACTGTTGGCTCAAGATCAGACAGTGGAGAAGTGGCCATGTGAAGGTTATAGGTGGTAGACTTAGAAAAAAAATGACCATGGTAACAATGAGAACGTGTTAGTTTCTGAATTAAAAGACCTAACTTTAGAAAATGGAAACAGTTCTGCTGGGCCCCTGTATCAAACTTCATTGGTGTTGCCCTGGAAAGATTCTGAAAAAAAAGATGTGGAATGATTTTAAAAAACAAAAACCAAAAAACAGTGGCATCAGAAGTGAGAAAAGACCTGGGAACTGCTTGGGAGAGGTCATTTGTAGTAATCTTCCACACCTTCAAAAAATGTTAGATGATATTTTTATTCAATTTCCAATGGTGCCTGAAATTTCATCAAAGACTGCTTTGTGCCAGCAAGCAGTCTTCCTTTAAAGATGCAAAAATTGCCAGAAAAGTAAGCGTCCATCTATTTTTGTGTAATATTCTGTTTCCCCGCCCCCATCTCTTATTTGAAAGCCTACTTAAGATCTGCTACAGTGGGGAGTACAGTTTTGATTGCAGGAAGGGAAGAATATGTTCTAAGTACTCTGGTGGATGTGGTTTTCTGGGTGGGGTGCTGGAGTCAGGGTGGTCAGGATGGCATCAGGACACTAGGACCCTGGCTAGGATGAGAAGACAAAAGGGGCTTACCAAAGACAAGTCCTTTGTGGGCTGTCTCACACCTAGATAAGAAAGTGGAAACCTCTCTTTGTCTTCCTTGGCCGCTTTAAAAATACAATATTTCACTGCAGGTGTACTATACTTTTGTCAAATGAATTGAGATCCCATCCACCTTGTATGTAGCTGTGCAATGGGAAAATACATATCAATTTGCAAATTAACCTTGAGTGGTACTATTGAAACACATATTCATGAAGAACGTGCCTGTAGTAAGTTAATTGAATGGGTCCTTGGGTCAATCTGCCTGGATTCTAAGCTTGGATTTGCCATTCATTACTCAGTAGGACAAGTTTCTTATTTTTCCTGTGCTTGTTTGCTTATCTGTATATTAGAAATAATAGTAATAACACCTCTCATATAAGGCTGTTGTGAGAAATACACAAATTAATGCTTGTGAAACCCTGAGAAAAGTGCCTAAAAGTGTAAGCAAATGCCTAATGATCTATGTTCTCCACATTCCTTAACTATGTGCCCCAGTTTTGTTTATGAAAATATAGTCTAACTTCTCTGGAATAAAATGTAGTGAAGGAGATATTTTAAAATGGTGTTATTTAAATGATACTTTCTTATTTCTGTAAGTATCTAATATATTTTCTGAACAGCAATCATGTGTCTTTTTATGCTACGATACTGGCCTGGAACAATTCATATTTCATTTACTAAAAGTAATTCTTTCTGGTGTAAAACTTCTTTTCCCAACCTTCACTATGAAATTTGGTTACATATTAAGGTATGTAGGTAATTTTGTGTCAGGATTCTAAAATATGCTCAATTTTTAACATGATGTTCTGAAATTCAAAAACATTTTTTTTATTAGAATGTAATTGTTGATTATTCATTTTCTACATTTTTATATTTAACAAGGTCTTTCCCTCCCCCAAGATTCTTTGACTTCTCTGTTCCATTTTATCTCAGTGGCTGGCATACCCATTGTGTTACTGTAATCTATAGAAGTAAGAATGGTGTGTTATATATGAGCTTGTTTGATTAAGGAGTTTTTTTTAAATCCAATTATTAGGCCTTTATTTGAGAACAGATGATATGGGAGAGTAGGTAGAGCATGGCCTGAATGTTCAAACACCTGGGATCTTTCCCACTTCTGCTTAGGAAGCTGCTGTTAGGAGCTGTGTGACCTTGAGTACATCCCAAATTCTACAGTGCCTGTGCTTATAAAATGGAGGAATTGAATGAGGTGTTGTTTAAGGTTTCCTACACATTTAATATTGTATGATGCTGTGATATCTTATTATGTCCACATTTGTGAAGTGTGTGCTTTGATTTGATTGACATATATGTCCCCCCCCCCCCCAGTTTCCTTAAAATCCATTGAAATGACTTTGGCTGATGACCAGCAAGGACAAAAAGATGCACCCTCCAACTGTAAGGTAGAGAAATCCACCTGCATCTGAAAGGAAACAGTTCATGGCCTTGGCCTTGTTAGCATCCAACTTTCTATCCACAGAGCTGTGGGTCTGGGAGGGTTTGATTGCATCTTAGGTGAATAAAGACAAGCTCCAGGGACATCATTATTCTTACCATTAACAGATAATTGTTTGTACTTTTCTATCTGCAGAAGACAAAATAAAAATATGAAAAGATAAATGAATAACTGTGCAAGGTCTCCTGAGTTGCCACTTTGTGTAATGTTTCTTTTCTAGGGAGGCTGGGGGAAGTTAAGAACAACTTTCCTTTGTGTATCTCTTAGTGATATTTTGAATTTCTCAAAGGGAAGTAAAAGAAACAAGAGTAACCCTATTTTGTGACCTACTTCTGCTTTTGCAATTTCGAGGCCTTCATTCCCCTGTTAAATTTTTCCTTTTGATATTCAGTAGAAATCTTTTTTTTTTTTTTTTGGATTGGCCAGTGTATTTTAGCAGAGAAAATTTAAAAATAATCATTTGAGATAAATGATTACCTACTACTATCTACTACCACAAGAAGTAGGTAGATGATGTATTAGGGAATACATTATTTTTCTAGAATCCAGACAATATGATGACTGAAATCATTGCCATAGGGCTGGATGCAGAAATTTAAGTTGTTGACTGTAGGAAATATAAGTTCAAATAACATTACAGCACTAGTTGCTAACATTAATATTTTTTGAGGAGTATTTTAGTAAAATATTCATTTTGACCATTTTCTTTTCTTCTAGGCGTGGCCTCCTGCCCTGTAGATCTTTCTGTGAGGCTGCAAAGGAAGGCTGTGAGTCTGTCCTGGGGATGGTGAACTCCTCCTGGCCCAATTTTCTCAAATGCTCCCAGTTTAAAAACCAAACTGAAAGCAGCAACATCAGCCGGATTTGCTTCTCCCCACAGCAGGAAAATGGAAAGCAATGTAGGTGTCTGTGTTTCATTTCATTTTTACATTTTAATTTGGGTATACCATTCATACAGGATGTATACAAATAACTTTGTAAGCCAATCATTTTAACATAGTGACCAGATCCCAGATCAAGAAGCAGATTCTTAGTAGCACCCAAGAAACACCTTCAGGCCCATCCCAAATATTTCATCTTCCCCAAAGAAATCTCTATCCTGACTTTAATCACTTTGGGTAATTTTGTTTTTCTGAACTTCATATAAATGAAATCATAGAGTATAAAACATTTCTGTATCTGACTGCATTTGCATTATTTTGAGAAATTTATTATGTTTTCATCTTGAGGTTAATTCATTTTCATTGTTATATATTATTCTAATATATTATTATATATTAATATATTTCTCTGTTCTCTTGGTGGACATTCATTTCAAGTTTTCAGCTATTATGCATAGTAATGCTATTAATATTCTAATAACGTGTCTGAACATGGTTATGTATTTGTTTAGCAAAAAAGTTTTAAAAAATGGTCATTTAACATCTATGTATGAAATTGCAGTTGTTCCACATTCTTCCTGACCTTTGGCATTGTCAGTCTTTTTCATTTTAATAATTCTGGTGGGAATATTAATGGTATCTCTGTGGTTTTAAGTTGTATTTTCCTGATGACTTTGATCACATTTTGAAAATGTTTTGGTTATTTTTTCAATTTGTTCTAATTAGTCATATATGACAGTAGAATGCATTTTGACATATCATACATAAATGGAGTATAACTTCTCATTCTTCTGGCTGTCCATGATATAGAGTTACACTGGTCATATATGCACATAGGGCAATAAGTCCTATTTATTTTACCTTCCTACCTCCATTCCCCCTCTCCTCCTTTTACTCCCCCCTGTCTAAACTAAAGCACCTTGGTTCTTCCCTAGCCCCCCTATATTTGAATATCCTTTTTTTGATATGTTTCTAGAAAATTTTGCCCATTTCTCATATTTTTATTATGGTTTTATACACATACTGGATATACACATTGTTATGGTTTGGATCTTAAATGTCCCCAAGGACCCATGTGCTAAAAGCTTGGCTGTCAGCCTTTTGTGATTATCAGAGGTGGTAGAACCTTTGGGAAGTGGGGCTTGGTGGGGCTGGGTCACTAGAGGTGTGCCCTTGAGAGGGCTCTTGGCCCCTTCTCTCTTTCTTTGCCTCCTGGCTGGAGCCTCCTTGCCCATGAGTTTCTGCCATGATGTTCTGCCTCACCACAGATCCAAAGCAATGGGACCAATCAACCATGGTCTGGCACCTCTGAAATCATGAACCAAAATAAACTTTTCTCCCTTTAAATTGTTTATCTCAAGATTGTAGTGATGAAAAATTGTTTAACATCATTGGATGTATGTATTGTAAAGATGTCCCAACCATTGCTGGAACTTGAGATGTTCCAGCCCTCTCAAGTCTATTGGAATTGAAGTCTTATTTTTTTTTTAAATTTTACCTTTTTTTTTAGTTACACATAAGAATAGAATGTATTTTGACATATTATACATACATGGAGTGTAACTTCCCATTCTTTTGCTTGTGCATGATATGGAGTTACACTGGTAATGCATTCATATATGAACATAGGAAAGTTATATCTGATTCATTTGACTGTTTTTCCTATTCCCATCCCAGCTCCTTTACTTCATTCTCCTTTATCTAATCCAAAGTACTTCTTCTATTCTTCCCTATACCTTATTGTGTATTAGCATCTGCGTTTTGTGTTAGCATCCTCATATCAGAGAGAACACTCAGCCTTTGGTTTTTTGGGATTGGCTTATTTTGCTTAGCATGATATTCTCAAGCTCCATCCATTTACTGGCAAATGCTGATTTTTAGTCCTTTGTATTTAAACCAAGAGTGGGATAGCTGGGTCAAATGGTGGTTCCATTCCAAGTTTTCTGAGGAATCTCCATACTGCTTTGAATATTGGTTGCATCAATTTGCAGTCCCACCAGTGATGTACGAATGAGCCTTTTCCCCGACATCCTTACCAACATTTGTTGTTACTTTATTTTTGATAATTGCCATTCTGAATGGAGTGAGATGAAATCTCAGTGTAGTTTTGATTTGCATTTCTCTAGTTGCTAGAGATGTTGAACATTTTTTCATATATTTGTTGACGGATGTTACTACGAAGTGCCTGTTCAGTCTTGCCCATTTATTGATTGGGTTATTTGGTTTTTTGTTTATTTTTGTTTATTTTTTTTGTGTGTGTGTGGGTGTGTGTTAAGTTATTTGAGTTCTCTATAAATCCTGGAGATTAATGCTCTATCTGAGGTGTGGGTGGCAAAGATTTCCTCTCGTTCTATAGGCCCTCTCTTCATGCTCTTGATTGTTTCCTTTGCTGTGAAGATGGTTTTTAGTTTGATACTATCCAATGTATTGATTCTTGATTTTACTTCTTGTGCTTTTGGAGTCTTGTTGAGGAATTCGATTCCTAAGCTGACATAATATAAATTTGGGCCTACATTTTCTTTTGTTAGGCTCAGGGTCTCTGGTCTAATGCTTGGTCTTAGATACACTTTGAGTTGAGTTTTGTGTAGGGTGAGAAATAGGGGTTTAATTTCATTTTGCTGCATATAGATTTCCAGTTTTCTCAGCACCATTTGTTGAAGAGGCTCTTTTCTCCACTGTATGTTTATGGCACCTTTTTCTAGTATGAGTTAACTGTATTCATGTGAGTTTGTCTCTGTGTTTTCTATTTTGTATCATTGGTCTTCATGTCTGTTTTGGTGCCAATACTATGCCACTTTTGTTATTAAAGCTCTGTAGTATAATTTAAGGTCTGGTATTGTGATGTTCGTGCTTTACTTTTCTTGCTGAAGATTGTATTGGCTAGTCTGGGCCTCTTATTTTTCCAAATGAATTTCATGACTGCTTTTTCTATTTTTATGCAGAATGTCATTGGAATTTTAATAGGAATTGCATTAAATCTGTAAAATGCTTTTTGTAGAATGGCCATTTTGACAATATTAATTCTGCCTATCCAAGAACATGGGAGATCTTTCCATCTTCTAAGGTCTTCTTCTTCAGTTTCTTTCTTTAGTGTTCTTTAGTTTTCATTGTCGAGATCTTTCACCTCTTTTGGTAGATTGATTCCCAAGTATTTTTTTTTTAAGGTTATGGTGAATAGGGGTAGTTTTCCTCATTTCTCTTTCATAGTTTCATCACTGATATATTGGAATGTGTTTGATTTATGAGTGTGGATTTTATATCCTGATACTTTGATGAATTCATTTATTAGTTCTAGAAGTTTTCTGGTGGAATTTTTCAGATCTTCCAAATACAGAATCATGTCATTGTCTGTTGCCAGGGGGCAAAATTTTGACATATGCAGTAGAGGGGAAAAATAAAGAATGTCCACGTGCTTCTGCCCCTTTCGATGCTTTGTTCACTCAAATTACTCAATACTATTTAACTCTGTTGGTTCTTAATCAGGAAAATGACAATCCTTAATGCTAGTCACTTCAATAGACATAATCAATTCACAGTAAACACTTCTGGATTAATTAATTCACAGCAAACAGTTCTAGATTAATTCCAAGCACTGCAAACACACTTAATCATGACAGGCTAGTGAAAGACATTCCCTCTGTGTGCTAAGTTCAAAGGTCTCAAGCCTTAGGCTTTACTTCCAGCAGATGCACACTTACTCAGACAGCAGTGATCAGGTTTCAAACCAAAGCAGGCTTCTTCTTGTGTAGAGTGGATGACCTGTTGAGGAGAGGGTCACATAGGGAGAAGTTGCAGCTCTCACCAGAGTCCAGACGAGGCGGTAGAGTTTGAGAGCAGTGAGGATCACACAGAGGCTCTGGAAACAACAAGTGATGGGATGTCAGTCCAGGTCCTCATCAGGCCCTCTAGCTCAAGTGCATCCTTGTTTTGGCTGGCTGAGTCCCTGTTCATCAGCTCTATTATTTATACTAAATTTGGGGGCTTTTTGACCCCCCCTTGCAATCCTTATCAGCTACCACTGGATTTCTCCATGACATCATTTACCCTGGAGTCAGAAACCTCTGATCTGGTGGTCTCCACCCTGATCTTCTTGTCTTTCCCTTTTATCAGGTGAGGACAACCTGCCAGAGGCTTCTCTCTGTTTATCAGGGTGAAGGGAAGTAACTTGTCTGAGGCCATACTGGAGGGCTCTGTGGGTGTGCCTGGTGAGACTGCAGGTTTCAAACTGGAATTTTAAAAGTGGAGTTGCTTAGGCTCAGGCCTAAGGCCATCCTCATATCATCAAATAGTGATAGCTTGAGTTCTTCTTTTCCTATTCGTAAACCTTTAATTTCTTTCTTCTAAATTGTTCTGTCTAGAGTTTTAAGGACAATGTTGAATAGAAGTGGTGAAAGAGGGCATCCTTGTCTTGTTCAAGTTTTTAAAAGGAATGCTTTCAATTTTTCTCCTTTTAGAATGACTTTGGCCTTGGGTTTAACATATATAGCTTTTACAATGCTAAGGTATGTTCCTACTATCCCTAGTTTTTCTAGTGTTTTTAACATAAATGGATGCTCTATTTTGTCAGATTTTTTTTGCATCTATTGAAATAATGAATTATGTTTATTGGCTTCTGGATGTTGAATCAACCTTGCATCCTTGGGATGAACCCCACTCGATCATGGTGCATTATCTTTTTAATATGTTTTTGTATGTGATTTGTCAGTATTTATTAAGAATTTTTGCATCTATATTCATCAGGGATACTGGTCTGGAGTTTTCTTTTCATTATGTGTCTTGGTCTGATTTTGATATCAAGGTCATACTAGCTTCATAGAATGAGTTTGGAAGGTTCCCTCCTTTTCTATTTCATGGAATAATTTGAAGAGGATTAGTGTTAGTTCTTCTTTGAAGGTCTGGTAGAACTCAACTGAGAATCCGTCTGGTCCTAGGCTTTTCTTTATTGGTAGGCTTTTGATGGTATTTTCTATTTCATTGCTTGAAATTGATCTGTTTAAATTTTCTATGTTCTCCTTCAATTGGGGTAGGCCATGCCCCTAGAAATTTGTTGATGTCTTCAAGATTTTCTATGTTATTAGAATATAAATTTTCAAAATAGTTTCTGATTATCATTTGTATTTCAGCAGTGTCTGTTGTAATACTTCCTTTTTCATCATGAATTTTAATAATTTGAGTTTTCTCTCTTTCTTTTAGCTTAGTTAAGGGTTTATCAATTTTATGTATTTCTTAAAAACAAACTTTTTGTTTCATCAATGTTTGGATTGTTCGAGTTTCATTGATTTTTAGCTCTGATTTTAATTATTGCCTGTCTCCTATTACTTTTGGTGTTGATTTGTTCTTGTATCTCTGGGGCTTTAGATGTAATATTAGGTTATTTATTTGGTGGCTTATATCCTTTTAATGAATGAACTCAATGCATGAACTTCCCTCTTAGCAGTGCCTTCACAGTGTACCAGAGATTTTGATATATTCTATCACTATTCTTATTTACCTCTAAGTATTTTTTTTATTTCATCCTGATTTTTTTCTGCTATTCATTCATTTTTCAATAGGTGTTAGAGTAGATTCTATTTTATTTTATCTTTAATTTCTAATTTCATTCCAGTATGATCTGATAGAAGGCAAGGTGTTATATCTATTTTTTTGTTTGTTTGCTAAGAGTTGCTTTGTGGCCTAAGATATGGACTATTTTAGAGAAGGATCCATGTGCTGCTGAGAACATGTATTCAAGTCATTGATGGAGTAAAATATTCTATATATGTCTGTTAAGTCCAAATTATTAATTATATTTTTTAGTTCTATAACATCTTCAGTTTTTGCTTGGAGAATTTAACCAGTGGTGAGAGAGGTGTGTTAAAATTACCAGTGTGGTTGTGTTGTGATCTATTTGATTCTTGAAGTTGAATAGGGGTTTGTTTGATATATGTAGATGTTCCATTGTTTGGGGCATAAATATTCATGATTGTTATGTCTTGTTGATGTATAATTCCCTTAAGCAGTACGAAATGTCCTTTTTTGTCCCTTCTGATTAACTTTGGCTTGAAACCCACTTAATCTCATATGAGGATAGACACCCCAGCTTGTTTACAGGATCCATGTTAATGATAAATTTTTTTCCATCCTTTTACCTCCAGTCTGTGCCTATTTTTGCCTATGAGTCTCTTGGAGACAGCATATTTTGGGTTCTTGTTTTTCAATTCAATCTGCCAGTCTATGTTTTCCGATTGATGGGTTTAGGCCATTTACATTCAATATTATTATTGAGAAATGACTCTTAGTCCCTATAATTTTGATTTATTTCTAGTTTTTAATTTGAATTAGTTTCTCCTTTGACTGAGTATTCTTCTAGTGTAAGTCCTCCCTTTGCTGGTTTTCGCTTTTATTTTTCATTTCTCCTTTATGAAATATTTTATTGAGTATGCTTTGTAATGCAGGCTTTCTGGTTGTAAATTCTTTTAACTTTTGTCTGTCGTGGAAGGTTTTTATTTCATCATCAATTCTAAAGATTAATTTTGCTAGAGATGGTATGCTTGGCTAACCTCCATTTTTATTCAGAGCTTGGTATATATTCAAAGACCTCTAGCTTTGGGGCTTGGATTTATAAATCAGCTGTGATCTAGACTGTTTTCCCTCTAAATGTAAACTGTCAATTTTTTTCTCTTAATCTTTAAAATTCTATCTTTATTCTGTATGTTAGGCATCTTCATAATTGTGTCCCTTGGTATGAATCTGTTGTAATTTTGTATATTTGCGGTCCTCTAAGGGTCCTGTATCTGATTTTCTATTTCATTCTTTAGGTTTGGGAAATTTCTGATATTATTTCATTTAAAAAATTATGCACTCCTTTGGTTTGTATCTCTGAGCCTTAATTTATCCTAGTAAATCTTAAATTTGGTCTTTTGAGGTTATCCCCACATTTCTTGGAAGTTCTGTTCATAGTCTCTTTTTTTTTTATAGAAAATGTAGATTTATTTGTTATGTTATTACAAAGACAAAACAATTATCATTAGACGTACTTGGGGGACTTTCATTTCAGTTCACTGTTCTGTTACAGAAAACTAACCTAAGAGGGTGGAAACTAAATGATATTAACCTAAGAGGCTATACAGGGTAGACTGGTAAAAGAGGGCAGAAGGAGCAGAAGGTAGCTAGAAACACTCTTGTCAGTGGCAGGATCTGTAGCTAGGATATTTCCCAAGAGGCTACTACAGAGGCCTGAATTAATTAATTTGGCCCCCAAATCAGTAAAAGACTCTTGACTCTGTGGAGAATAACAAAGGCTGATCCCTCTGAGATATTTGCCTTTTCTTCCCACACTCCAAGCTCCTGAGCATGTTTACCACAGGCCTGCTACCATACAGATGATTCATACAGCAAAGGCAGGAATTATAGGCTTACTCATAGGGTACCTAACACAAAGTTTTGGGGTAAATGATAAACTACAAGTACCCCCTTGGATGAATTATTTCACCTTTGTTAATAAAGTTTGTAGTTCCTTCTGCTGGTGACAACTTGCTGTCTCAGTATAGTCTGTCTTGAGAAATAACTAGTTTAAGAGTTTTGGAGAAGGAAAGACTTTCATCAACCCCACTCCAAAGTGGAAGAGGCACCAGGTTCTCTCCTAGTTATAAGCAGAACTTTTAAGCAGCATAAATCATTTTCAGTGATCAACATCCCCATCCTCAAACTGTCCAGCAACTGTTGGTGTGGTATCTACCTCCATGCCATCTTCATAATCTCTTACTGAATCTTCCGTCCGGACCCCAGCCATGTTATACTGGCTGCTCACAGACTGAGAAAGCATTCCTTCTAATCTCTCCAGTGTAGCTTGCCCTTCTGCTGTTAAATGGGATAATCCTTCTTCATAGGTATAAAATGTAGGAATATCCCCCTGCCCTTGTTCATGTGCTTCCACATCATATTCTTCTCCATCATAATCATCTGAGTCTTCATCCTCAGGATCTGGATGCAAAGCCTGGCATTCACACATTGCAGTGAACATCACTTCCAATGCTGATTTATCACTAGGCACAAATCTAAATTCAGTAATAGGTTCAACATCATCATCACTGTCTTCCTCCTCTTCATCAGCAAGAGATTCTTTTGATTCTTCTCCAAATTTGGCATTCACCATAACATACAAATGCTCTCGAGGATAAGCATTTAGGTCCCTGGACACCGCATGTAAACTAATGGTGGGGTATTCCAGTGAGAATCCTAATCCAGAACCATCTAACCAAGACAGGCGGCTCTCCGCGATGTAAAGAGTGCCGATACCGAGGCCCTTTCCGTTCAGCACAGCCTCTGTATCTGGCTGCTGTTGCCGAAGCCCCTCATCCTGTCCCGGCGGCGGGAAACTCTTTAGGAAGCTCATTGTACCCGGGAGCATCGAAACCTGTTCATAGTCTCTTAACATCTTTTCTCTGTGGTCAACTTTGTTTTCAAGATCATATGTTTTGTCTTCATAGCCTGAAACTGTCTTCCAAGTGGACTAGTCTGGGATTCTACCTCTTGGGTCCCCTTCTTCCTCCAGGAGAAGTCTTTTCTGCTGTCCTTTAATAAACTTCTAAAAACAAAACAAAAAAACAAAAAACTCCAAGTGGACTAGTCTGTTGGTGATGATTTTCATTGAGTTTTTAATTTGGTTTATTGATTCCTTCATTTTGAGGATTTCTGCTTGATTTTTTTTTTCAGAATCTCTATCCCTTTATTGAAGTGATCTTTCATGTTCTGAATTTTCTCTAGGATTTCACTCCTTACATCATCCTTTACCTTGCAGATTAGTTTAACTATGTACATTCTAAACCCCTTCCCTGATATTTTAACTGTGGTGTTCATGGATTATGTTATTGAAGTATCTTGTTTTGTTTGGGGTGATTTGTTTCTTTGCTTTTTCATGTTGTTTGTGTGCATTCCCATCTAACGGTATGGATCTGAGGCAGTAGACTCTATCAGCTTATAGTATCCCTGAAGATTTCTAGTACTTCTGTTTAGGGGCAGACAAATAATAACAACAACCAATGCAAACAATATACAGCATTAAACCAAATAGTTCCTGCTATGATGTTTATAATGTTGTCACAATAAACATAAATGATATGATCTGTTATGGCCTACAATAAAAACAGCAAGTTTGCAAAAGGGTTTAAAATTTTGAATGGCAAAATTTGATTAGAATATGATGATTATGAGGGATGGGAAGAGAAGATAGAAGTAAAAAATAAAAAGGAAGAGTGAAAGAGAACAAGAGAGATTGGCTGTTAACAGAAGAAGAGAGAGAAAGAGAATCAAGGGAAAAGATAATTGAGATAAAACAAATATATATGAAATAAAAATTTAAAAAATAAAAATAAAACAATATAAAACAACTAAAATATACTAATCAAACATCCTAGTCCTCAAAATAGTGATCCATGAAAAATAACTGGCTTCAAAAATACTAGAAATGAGAAGGAAAAAAACACCATATATGAATATGTATAAATGTCCATGAATCATATGGTCACACTTAAACTGAAAAAAAAAAGAAAAAAAAACTCAATGAAAAGTTAAAGAATTATTTTCTCTTGGAGATCAAGATTCCTAGCTTCCCTTCTCAGCAGTATTAGGTGGGGTTGTCTGAAGTATGATGCTTACTCCACCCTCAGGGTGGGGTTGCTAGAGTGAGAGAATTAATATCATAGGCAGAACTCCTGGAGGTGATGTTTAGGCTTAGGTGGGCTCCAGGTTCTGTACTGAATGCCAGTTGGTCTGATGATTTTAAGTCAGTGCACCTCTAGGACCCAGCAATTGTAGTTCATGCTGGAAGACTGCACCCCGGGATCTCCCCTGGGTTCCACTGGCGCAGTGGAGGAGCCAATTTTTAGCCCACTATGTCACTTGCAGACCATGTTTCCTGGTCTCAGGTTCAGTCTCCAAACTCAATCTCTTCAGCCCCTGCCCTTTCGGTTTCCCAGTCAGGTGCATCTCTCCCAGTCAGTCCTACAGGTAGTCAGATTGTGGCGGGGAGGGGGTGATCTGGGTGGGTTTCCTTGATCAGTTGTCCCCTATGTAAACCTCTCTCCACATTTGATTTTCTCCTGGTCACTGAGGCACATACTATGCTGTACAGTGTGGGTTTGACAGGTCTATATTTTGGGCCAAACTCAGGTTTGCCAGGAATTGGCTTCTTGAGCCGCAGACCCTCTCGCCACAGCTGCAAAAAGTCTCCTTCTCTGTCCTCCTCATGCAGCTGGGAAAGATGTGGTTTCTTTCCTGTACGCGGATATTGTGTAGCAGTATGCCTTTCAGTTTAGTTGGGTATTGTCTTTGCTCTCTAAACTCTCTGTACCCAGAGAGCTTCAGTCCTTCAAAACATGTGGGTTCCTTTAATTCTCGGATCCCTCCACTTTGCTTAAGGAGGGACTGCTGTGGCTGGTGCTTCTGGTCATGCCAGTGGCAATGGTGCTGGGGATTTCTTCCTTATTTTATGATATCCAACCTCCTGAATCCCTGATCTGCTTTGAATGTCCAGTATTAAATTCCAGGAAAGTCCTCCTGTCTTTTTTTGTTCACCCACATTGCTGGGAAACCGCCTTTCTGCTTTCTTGGTTTCATGCTATGGAGCAGCTAGGGAAGCAAACTTCTCTATTCCATCATCTTAAAATCCCCCTGAAGGTCTTAATTGTAATGGGTACATATTATCGACTTTTTCTTTTGTGAGAATTATTTTTAAGAAATCTTTGCTTACACCTGAAACACAGAAGTTTCTTTTATCTTTCTTCTAGGAATGTTATTGTTGAGCATTCAGTTTTTCGTATATACTATAATTGTGGAATTAATATTTTGTGTGTGGTGAAAAGTTGGGATTAATTTTTTTCTATGTACATATTCAACTGACCCGGTTTTTTTTTAGAGAACAATCCTTTCCCCCTGCACTGTAATATCAGAGTTGTTATCAGTCAAGAGATTAACTATGTGCATATCTAGTTTTTTGATTATTGACAGAATATGATGAATTCAAGACCACACTGTCTGAATTACAATAGGTTTATAGTAAAAATTTATATTGAATCATATATGTCCTCTATTTATTTCCTTCTTAAAGATTTTTTCAACTATTTTTGTCCTTTTTCACTTAATATAAATATTTTAACATTTTATTTATTTATTTTAATTAGATATATAATAGCAGAATGCATTTTGATTCATTGTACACAACTGCAGCACAACTTTTCATTTCTTTGGTTGTACACGATATAGCATTGCACCATATGTGTAGTCATACATGTACCTAGGGTAATAATGTCTATCTCATTCCAACATCTTTCCTGCCCCCATATCCCCTCCTCTTTTTTTTCTCCTCTTTGCCCAAAGTTCCTCCATTTTTCCAGTGTCTCCCTTCATTATGGATCAGCATCCCTTATCAGAGAAAACATTCAGCCTTTGTTTTTTTGGGATTGGCTTACTTTGCTTAGCATGACATTTTCCAGCTCTATCCATCTGCCTGATAATGCCGTAGTTTTATTCTCTTTTAATGGTGAATAATATTCCATTGTGTATGTATATGTATATATATATATATATATATATATATATATATATATATATATATATATGCCATAGTTTCTTTATCCATTTATCTATTGAAGGGCATCTAGGTTGTTCCCACAGTTTAGCTATTGTGAATTGAACTGCTTTAAACATTGATGTGGCTGTGTCCCTGTAGTAGGCTGTTTTTAAGTCCTTTGGGTATAGACCGAGGAGAGGGATAGCTGGTTCAAATGGTGGTTCCATTCCCAGTTTTCCAAGGAATCTCCATACTGCTTTCCATAGGGGTTGCACCAATTTGCAGTCCCACCAGCAATGTATGAGTATGCCTTTTCCCCCACATCCTCGCCAACAATTATTGTTTCTTGTATTCTTGATAACTGCCATTCTGACTGGAGTGAGATGAAATCTTAGTTTTGATATGCATTTCTCTAATTACTAGAGATGTTGAAGATTTTTTCATGTATTTGTTAATTGATTATATATCTTCTTCTGAGAAGTGTCTTTTCAGCTCCTCAGCTCATGTATTGATTGGATTGTTTTTTTGTGTGTGTGTGTCTACATTTTAATTTTTTTTTATTTTACAAAGTTATATTTATTTTTTTTAAATTTTTATTGTTGGTTGTTCAAAACATTACATAGTTCTTGATATATCATATTTCACACTTTGATTCAAGTGGGTTATGAACTCCCATTTTTACCCCATACACAGATTGCAGAATCACATCAGTTACACATCCATTGATTTACATATTGCCATACTAGTGTCTGTTGTATTCTGCTGCCTTTCCTATCCTCTACTATCCCCCCTCCCCTCCCCTCCCCTCCCCTCTTCTCTCTCTACCCCCTCTACTGTCATTCATTTCTCCCCCTTGTATTATTTTTCCCTTTCCCCTCACTTCCTCTTGTACGTAATTTTGTATAACCCTGAGGGTTTCCTTCCATTGGATTGTTTGTTTTTTTGGTGTTAAGTTTTTGGAGTTCTTTATATATCCTGGAGATTAGTGCTCTATCTGATGTGCATGTGGCAAAAATTTGCTTCTAAAATGTAGGCTCTCTCTTCACCTTGTTGACTGTTTCTTTTGCTGAGAAGAAGCTTTTTAGTTTGAACCCATCCCATTTAATAATTCTTGGTTTTATTTTTTGCACTTTAGGAGTCTTGTTAAGGAAGTCAGGGCCTAACTCAACATGATGAATATTTAGGTTGATATAAATTTTTAAAACATGTTGTAATTTCTACAAATGCTGGGTTTATTTTGTATTTTAAAGTTGGGATATATTAAATGTATAGATTGAATTGGCAAGAATTTCTTTGCAACACTGAGTATTCCAATCCATACAGAATGACCATAAATATGTGCATTTATTTTTGGACTCTCAATTCTGTACATTATGGCAATAGTTAATTTGGTATTTTAAATGAGGTACTTTTAAATTTCTCTCAGTAATATGTTATATTTTTAACTACAGAGTTCTCATACTCATCCCTTAGATTATCAGTAGACCTATAGTATCTCTTTATGTTATTGTGAATTATATCTTTTTAAAACTTTTTTCCATTTCTTTGTTTCCAAGGACTTTGTTAAATCATTTAATACATTTTATAGTTCATCTTGATTCATTCAAAAAATTTTAAAACTACAATCATCTTATTTACAAATGACAGTTAATTTCTTCCTTCCCAGTTCTTGGTGCCTTCTAAAACTTCTGAATCAGATAGAAAGTTTTCAATAAATTTGCTTAAGGAGTTCTATGTGCAATCTTGATCAGATTAAGGAAATTTTCTCATTGTGGTTTTTAAAAATATCATGAATGGATTTTGAATTTTGTCAAATGTTTTTTCTATATCTACTAAAATGATATGTA